TATTCATTCTTTTGGTTTTGTTTTATAATTTCTTGATTTCTCATGAAGTCATTAGCTTCCACCAAATGTCCCGATTTTTAAAAAGAACAGAGGTTGCAAACTATAGGCCAATAGGCTTGACACTTAAATTCATGAGAAAATTCTAGAAAACCTTACTAAAAAGCTGCGAATATCTACTAAAGGGGATTACACGAAGTCAGAATGACTGTATCAAAGACAGATCAAGCCAAAGCAACTTTTCTCTCCCTTTCTCCCAGAGTTACTGAACTAGATCATAGGACTGCTATAGATATAATTTACCTAGATTTCAGCAATCCATTTGACCAAATATTTCATCCTATTCTCATGTACAAGATAGACAAAAGTGGATGAGACAATAATACATTTAGCTCAGTTGAGAATTAACTGAATGAGCGGACTAAAGATTAGTTATTAATGAATCCAACTTGGCAGGAGGTCTCCAGTGAAGCGCCCAAGGGATCTGTGCTGGGTCCTCTGCTGTTTAAAGGTTTGTTTTTTTTATCAGTGATACAGATAAAAGTATAGGTAGAGTACTCATTAAATTTGCAAATGACCCAAAAGTGAAAGGGATAGCTAAAACACTAGAGGCCAGAGTCAGGATCCAGTCAGTGAATCAACAAGCATTTTGATTAAGCACTCACCATGTGCCAGGCACTGTGCTAAATTGTGGGATGCAAAGGAAAGCAAAAACACAGTACCTGCCCTCAAGGAGTTTACATTCTAGGAGACAATATGCAAAAAAAATAGAGAAGATTCTGAAAAAAAAGATAGAAGAGTAGGTCAGAAAATTTCAAGCTCTCCAGATTTCCTCCACAAACAAGACAAAATAGCACCTCAGGGTCAACATAGAGTGGCAAAAATAAATAGAGATGTCCTCCTAGTCCTCCTGGGATAACCAGAGAAGACCTGAAGAAAGATCTCAGGATGGAGGTTTGACTGAGTGAAGCGTAGAAACCTCCAGACTAGCTCTGCTGAAACAACAAGCATTGAGCCCTGGGGGCAGCTGGGGTGGGAGGTAACTGTTGAGGTTACAGCCACAGGAATTTTCACCACTTGTACAGGGTGGGAAGTCGGGAGTCTGTGCAGCAGAAGACTGAGGGAGCCTTTGCTGATAAGGAAAACCAGGCCCAGCTGTGCTGCAAGACACGATAAGATCCTGGGCAAGAAGAAACCAGCACATGTGGGGTAAGTGGCGAGGCAGGGATGCTGTTGGCTTTGGGCACTTACCGGGGAGCTAAGTTCTTGGTCCTGGTTCCAGGCCAGAGGGGAGAACTGAAGGTCATAGCCATTGGAGGGTTTTTAGGGGGTAAGAGCATTTCCACAATAGTGGGGGGGGCAGTGGGGGGCTAGCTGTGGCTTGGAAGGGGAAAGAGTGCAGAAGTTGGGACCAGGACAAAGCTCAAAAAATAACAGTAAGAAGGACCTGGGAAGCATAACCAAGATGGTGGAGTAATGGCAGGGACTAGCCTGAGCTCTCCACCAAACCCCTCCAAATACCTTTAAAAAATGACTCTAAACAAATGCTAGAGCAGGAGAACACACAAAAAGACTGAGTGAAACAAATGTCCAGCCCAAAACAACTTAGAAGGTCAGCAGGAAAGGTCTGTTACACCAGGGTGCGAGAGGAGCACAGGTTTGTACAGACTGGGTGTCAGCAAACCCAGAACAGGACTCCGGATGACTGAATCACGGGCAGCAGTTGAGGTTTCCAGACCTTTCAGCCCGCAGACACCAAAGACAACTTAGAAGGTCAGCAGGAAAGGTCTGTCACACTTGGGAGAGAGTGGACTGCAGTCCAGCACAGGGTGCATCAGCATAGCCCCCACTACAGCAAACCAGGCACAGGCTTTGGGAGTGACTGAATCAGGAGTGGTGGCAGAACTGCTTCTGGAGCTCTCAGCCCACAGACGGTAAGGGGATCGAACAACTGGTCAGATGGAGATTATAGGGGTCTCTTTGCAAGCACTTCATGAGGCAGGACTCTGTTGCTTTGCCCATACTT